GGGACAATAATAAATAAATCCACGGCGGAAAATTTTCAACCGTCCGTTTTTTAAATCGACGACTCTCCGTATATCTATGCTAATTATTTGTCACGAAAGGTTATGGGCCTGGAAGTGGGCCCATTAAGTTCAATGGATGATGGGCCGAATAAAAGTGGCCGACTCTTAAGTAACCACCGTCTAGATCGTCACTCGGCGTTTGTGTGTCGAAATCGGACGGTCCACAATGGCGGATTTTGGAGGCTGGTTGCCTACTCATCAGATCTTGAAAGGCCGGTCGGTGGGGTCCACATGAAATTATCGAAGAACTAATTAAAAAATAAATAGGAAAAAAAAAAAAAAAAAAAGGAAAGTGGGAGAGCTTCTAGGGTTTGGCTTTTCTCCATTACTAAAGAACAAAGTGAAAATATTTTATTTTTTCTTTACTTGGTTCGAGTTTCTCTCTCCCGTCCTCTTTTCAAGTTCCACTCTTTTTTGTTAACAATGACGACCCTCCACAATAAACCTTCACGAGATAAAAAACAATTTCGTAACGAGAAACCTCGAGGACTGTCAGCCTATACTTCATCTCATCCGTTTCGTTATAATACGTTTCGTACTTTTAGTTCTTACCCTAGGCTTTTTAGGGGTTTCCTGAAACCTGTACCAATTTTAGGGACGTCCCGAAACCTCAACCAATTCTTAATCTGAGTTTCTTTAGAGATTTTTTGAAATATGAGTCCGATCTTCTTAATCCAAGCTTTTTAGGAATTTCTTGAAAGTTGAGCCAAATTCACTTTTTAGTAGATATTCGAATCTCTAACCTCTTTCATCGAAGAAAATATATTTTAACTAGTTGAATTAGTTAAAAGTTAGACACAATCGCTACAAAACCATAAAAAAAATCACAATATATAAATTTAAAATAATGTATTTATAAATTTTTTAATAAATTATGTATTTTTATACTTTTTAATAATTTCTAAAATCACTTAAAAAAAACATAACGACCAAACTCGTATACTCTATGTCTATAAATATGTTCGAAATAAATAATTATTTATGACACAAATTGTTTATAGAGAAATTTAAAAGCATTAAATACACGTTTATTAATCAATAAATATATATATATATATATATATATATATTTTTTATGATAAATCTTATTATAAATAAATTATGAATTAAAAAAATCTAAAATAAATAAATAACTCTGCTACGATTGGAAAGTGGGCCCCACATAATGGGATTCTTGTCATAGTTGCATTTCTCAATTGCACAAATCATGCAATTTTAAAAAAAATAATTCCCCATAATTTTTCAAAATAAATAAATAACTGTGTTTTTCGGTAATTTCACATGAAATTTGTTCCTCAATAATTGCTGATTCATTAATAAAATACATTAAATCTAATATTATAATTATAAAAATTTAAATAAGGTTTAGAGTAGATATTTTTAAAATAAGGTTACTATCCAACTCAACTTTACCGTACTTTAATAATATATATATAAACGCTTGTAACCCATGTTAATAATTCATCGGAATTTGTATATATTTAATATTTAAATTTTATGAAATTTATATTATTAATGTGATATATATTGTGAATAAATAGTTTTTAAAAATAATTTTAAAAAACAACCCGACATCTTTATTTAACCCAATTAGATAACAGAGGTCCGGATTGGGTTGAGTTATAAATTTTATTCAGTTGTTCATGTCACTCAACTAATTTGAAATAAAAATAGACCGTTAATATTAAAATAATAATTTTTACTAGGTTGAATAACTATTCGTACAATAAATTTATTATTACAAGAATAATTATTATTTATAAAATAAATGATGAAACAATATAGATTTTCAAAGAAAAAAAAATGGCCAAGTTGTATTAAATTTCAAAATTATTTTAACCATGTGAATAATCAAGTTGATGTAACTTATTATTATTTTTTTTAATTAAAAAAGGGTAATAATTTATATGTATACCTTAGCTGTTTTTGTTTTGTTATTTGTCTATAAAAAAATATTAAAAATAACAATTTATCTCTTCTATTGTCAAAGTAGTAATAAATTAATTTTTAAAACAAAAATATTTAATTAGTCCCTTAAGGACCTAGATGCAATTAAACTCAAATTAGAGGACTAAAAGTATATAATAAAAAGTGAAGATTATGGTCACGTTAATGATCTGAATTCAGCAATTAATGGCTTCGAGATTCTCCGACATTTCATGTAACTTGAATCGTTTCAGTATGTTTTGTTTTGACTCACATGCATCTTAGAAAAAATCCTAGGAGGTTATTCAGAATGTGCATTTTATCGGTACAGGTAATGACAGTATTAAGCTTTTCTTAGTCATCTTATTCTCAGGATCACTCTCATTCAGATATAGTTTAGGGTTTAGGGTTTAGGATTTCGGATTTTAGGGTTTAGGGTTTCATATTTTAGGGTTTAGGGTTTCGGGTTTAGGGTTTAGGGTTTCGAGCTTTAGGGTTTAGGATTTCGAGTCTTAGGGTTTAGGGTTTCGAGCTTTAGGGTTTCGGGTTTCGGGTTTTAGGATTTAGGGTTTGGAATATGGGAAGGCAAGAAAAGCAATTCAGTCTAGATAGTCTAAACATTGAACGGAAAACAAGTTTCAATCAAAACTTCTTTTTAGCCTTTTTCTAACGCTAATAACTTCGGGAACGAGCGAGCAACAATATTTTCTTATTTACATCACTATAATCATTCTTATTTACATCACTATGGTATGCAACAAAATTCGATAATTTCTTATTTACATTAATCATTCAAAATCGTATGTCGAAAACGTCTTTTAAATCACTAGTTGTATAATACAAATTTGTTAAAATGAAGAACATCGTTCAAAAATCAATTATGAGGGGCAAAATGGGTATTTAAGATATTAAGAGAGAGAGAGAGTGATATGAACTAAAGGACATTAATCATACAATATGCTTCAATGAAGATGTGAAGAAAATATTGTTGAAATTATCAAAAGATATTTCAATTCATGTCACCTTGAAGAAGAATGAAGTTTCATGTAATAAATTTTGGGTGAATTACAATTTAGAGTTATTGTATTTCATTAATGTATTTTAAGACTTTTTATTTACTCTAGTTACCATTGGTTAATTATGGCCATCTAGTTACGATTGGTTAATTATGACCATTAAGTATGAATGTAACAACTCTTGGAATGTCCTTTAATAGTTTCATTTTGAAGCTATATAAAGCTATATATATGGTACTGTGGTTCTTTATCTTATCAGAGAGAAAGTTAACTTTTTGCCAATAGGGGCTTGTGGGGGCCTTCTCTAATTTCGACCAAAGTTTTGGACTTTTTTGTGAACAAAAAGAATTAAGTGATTGGTTTAAACATCCACCGTCCTCTTTTGTTCATCCACGTGCGTAGAAATTAAATAATTAAACAATTTTTGTTCGTACTATTTTTTTTATATTGATTAATAAAGATTTAAATCTCATTTAGATAAGATTTGGATTAAAAAGAAAAGTATTTTTTTTTTTTTAATTTTCTCTTTAATTTTGTACCTAAAAATATTATAACGACATGTCGGGTGCCTGCATGTAAAAACTGTCTTTTTAAAAAAAGAATTATCTTATAATCATGGGAAGCCCGAGTAAAGCACCTGTTTATTACTACATATATTAACAAAATGTACTTTATGTCTTACAATCACGACTTTAATAACATATAATTTGAACAAGATTTTGTCTAAAAAGACGTTAATTTCAACATAAAGATTTAATTAAATATCGAGGTCGAATAATTTTTTATTTTTTATATAAAAAAAAGACATATATTAAAACACAATAATGATTTTGACCACTTTTGCTCTATAAATGGAAGTCTTAATTCAATTATTTAGCCTTTCGTTGGAAGAAATATGGAATAATTTCCATCATTGTGTTATCTTGACAGCTATTTTTTGAAATTAATTTTTTTAAAAAAATAAAGAATAGTTATTGAAATATATGTTTTTACCCATTATTTTATTTTATATAATCATTTATAAAAATGAAATATTTTCAAATAAAATGGTAAATACATTATGGTCTCCTCCTCTCAAGATTTAATTAATTTGTTGTTTTTTTTAATTATTTTTAAATTTTTATGTATTAAATTAATTTAATTAGATCTAGGAAAGATTTGATGGATAAACTTATTAAGTAACATGTTTTTGGAGAAATTAAGGTATGGTGAGACGATTTTTAAAATTAAAATGGTTTCTAATTTAATGTTAATAACTGTGATAAAATTAAAATCGTTTTAATTAGTAGTTATTATTGATAAAAAATAGTTGACTAAATTAATGAAAATAATTTATCTAATTATTTCAATAAATACATTTAAATTTTTAATTTTTTAAATAATATATTTTTTACTGTTAATATTACGGTAGCATAAATATCCTTAATCTTTATTAAAAGATTTTTTTTAATATCTACTAGCGGTAGACTTGGACCATTAGAAATGGTATTAGAGTCAAACACCAGACTATATGCCAGCGAGGAGATTGTTCCCTGAAGGGGGTAGACACGAGGCGGTGTGCTAGTAAAGACGCTGGGCTTCGAAGAGGGTGGATTTAGTAGTGGTCCCACATCGATTAGAGAGAACGAGTGCCAGCGAAGCTGATGAGCCCTAAGGTAGGGTGAATTGTTTAACGTGGTCTATGTTGAAAATTAATGTTCATAGTCCAAACTTCCATATGCCTCGCAGGCCTATTAGAAATTCAGTCATTGGGCCCTCTTTACAGATCGGGCCCAACACATACATTGTGGGCCCATAGCCCAATGAATGTGATTATTTTGGGCCAGGCCTTTAGTTCATAAAAGAGAGCCATTTGATTTTATGTACAGCCCAGGCCCAATAATATAATAATATTCCGTTCCCTGGCCCATTGCGTTTCATTAATATGGGCCAGGCACTGGTCCAAAACGACGCCGGAGGATTCATATTTTTTTTCAACACCAAGTTTTACAAATTTGAGACGAGCTTTCCATTTTATCTCTGCAACTGCGACGTGGCAATCTTCGGAACTCAGATACGGATTTGTTGGCGGAGATTCAACTTCACTTCCGAGCAACTTTACGCTTGAACCGCCGGCGGCCGGCGAGAATTATGGTTTTGTAGTAGGTAGATATGAGGTCATAGGAACGAAAAGGAAGGAGAAATGGAAGGATTGGTGGTTCGGTCACCTTTCGTTTCAACAGGGAAGAAGTTTCCTTTCTCACCTTTGCTCGATTCTTTGCCGAGTTGTTCTGCTTCTGGCAGTGTATTTGCGAAGAACGTATCGAAATCGCGTAATCTTCTCTTGAATTATCTCTCTTTCCTTATAATTTTCAGTTTTGGTTTTGATTTTGCAAATTTCCAAACGCTCAGTGTTTGCATTATAAGTAGATTAGTTACTCATTGTTTGGTGAAACTGATTGTTTGAGAGTTTCTTTGAGTAATTTATGGACGATTCTCGTTTTGACTGTCTTAATTTTGTTGAATGCTATGCGTTTTCCGTGCATTCTGTGAACATATTGAGCGAGCAGTGAGTGTGTTGTTGACAGTGAAATGTAGAAGAGTAACGAGATTGAACACGAAGTACGGTAAAATCAGAGCGCATTCGTCGAATGTAAGTATCGGATCCGATGGATACAAGCACGAGGAGGAAAAGGAGGGCCAGCATGTTATTTCCAGCAGTGCACCTGCTGATAGTTCATCTAAAACGTGAGTTTCGTCATTTTTGTTTTGATTTTTCTGAGTTGTTGATATATTAAAATTTTGATTTCTGTGACTATGGCTTGGATTATGCACCATATGCATTTATTTCAGAACTCCAATTGATCTTCCGGAGCAATGGTTATAAAATCGAAGGTTTCGTTGAAGGATTTTTTATTCTTATTATCATTTGAAATCAAAATTCTACTAATCTGGTTGTTGTGGTTCCTCTAATCCATTCGATATTTGAAGGGCTGTGATAACGTGTTGTATTATTAAGAGGCAGTCAAATTGTAGCAACCTGGCTGAATAAGTTTTTAAGCTAATCGAGTAAATGACAACCTTATTTGTTGTGTAAAATGATGCTCTCACCTTGCTTTATAATTTAGTGAATCCGGGACACATTTTTCTCTCATATGAACCTACATCACTTCTTCTTCACTCATTTATATATCTTATATTGTTTTGGCAGTGAGAAGTCTCCAAATGGATTGCCTTATCCTCTTTCTATTGCGCTAGTACTAATTGGGTGCAGTTTAGTATTCTCACTGATTGCCTTTGTGAAAGGAGGACCATCGTCAATCTTGGCCGCAGTCGCTAAGTCAGGGTTCACTGCTGCTTTCTCCTTAATATTTGTCTCTGAAATTGGAGACAAGGTGACTTTTTACATTCTTGGAACTTTGCCTTTATCAAGGTTCTCAATTTTTTCCTATTGCTAGAAGGATTGTGCATAAACACACAATCCATAGAATAAATTACAGATGAATAAAAGAAAACAATTCAAAAGACTAAGATATGAGTTCAATCCACTGAGACTGGAAGTTTGAAGCTCGACCTTGTTACATTAAATTTCAAAGAATTAAGCGAAGTAACCAAAATATTCTAAATTTTCCAAATGTTTACTGTTATATGGCTCTACTTCTTTCTAGCATCTTTAGTGTCACATCCCCTTAGAACTTTGAAGATATTGTCAGCTTATACCTTATCTCTTTTGGACAGACATTTTTCATTGCTGCACTCTTGGCCATGCAATATAAGAAAGGACTGGTATATCCTCTGTCGCCCTCTCTCTGTCTACAAAAATGCATCTGCTATTTGCACCATGTTTTTCTTTTCCTTTGTTCCATATGGCTTGATTCTGTGGGTTAGGAATTGAAAGTGCTATTCAGGTATTGAATTGTTGAGCAGGTTCTGTTAGGATCTATGGGAGCTCTTTCACTTATGACAGTCCTCTCAGTTATAATTGGACGGATATTTCACTCAGTACCTGCTCAGTTCCAGACAAGTAAGCTCAACTGCTCTAGAATAATCTCTTTTAACGTACTGCCTTCTTACTTCTTTCTCTGTTAGGACAATAACTTTGGCCCGTCTTCCTTATATTGTACTAGATACGATTCTGCTGAGACGATCGACATTTATTGTTGAAACCAGTGCATTTTGTTCTATTAAAAATTCAATTCTATATTTGATATTTTCTATCGTAACAAATAATACTTCTCCTACGCATACTCTTAGGTCCAAAATCTTAACTATATTTACGTGCTGTCGTTTGTGTAGCTTTACCAATTGGAGAATATGCGGCTGTAACTCTTCTATTGTTCTTTGGTCTCAAGTCCATTAAAGATGCATGGGAACTTCCCTCGAGTGTTCCTAAACAGGACAACGAGAGTCCTCCAGAACTTGATGAATATGTTGAAGCAGAGGAGCTTGTTAAAGAAAAGGTGGATCCCCAATCATTAGTTTCCTCTAGATTTTGAATTTTGTTTTGTTAAGGCTTGGAAACTGTTGCTTCTGGGTAGTCTATTTCATATTTGTCTGACTTTGTGACTAAAATTCCTGATTCTACCATATGGTATATCTTTTATAATTGTTTTCAGGTTTCAAAACGGCTCTCCAATCCTCTTGAAATCATCTGGAAGTCGTTCAGCCTTATATTTTTTGCTGTGAGTAGCTTTTAATCATTACTATTTCAGCAGAAAAGTATAACAAAAGCATAATATTTTAGATCGAGTCCACGTGTAAAAATTCATTATAGGAGGATATTTCGTTCGGCCCTTTTAGATCATCAAAAAGGGTATTGTAAACATATATATACACCTTCCCTCTATCACCTTTGCGCATCATATTTTGTAACTTAGACGTGAATGGATATCATATTTAGTTCATCGACTTAGGGACAGTCCCATGGGGCATTTTTAAAGCTCTTTATGATTTTCCCAGAGTATGTGTTTACATTTTAAAATTTTTGTATGTGCAAATACTTAAGTTTGAAACATTTTGTTAATGTTAGGAATGGGGTGATCGCTCAATGCTTGCAACCATTGCTCTTGGAGCTGCACAGGTTCGATTTTCTTTATTTAGAAGCCTGCAATGTACTTCATTTGGTTCTCTCTCGTTTCATTTCAAACTTGCGTTTTTCTTTCAATTTCCACTCCACAGTCTCCTTGGGGCGTGGCTACGGGAGCTATCACTGGACACCTAATTGCAACCACCATTGCCATTCTAGGAGGAGCACTTCTTGCAAATTACATTTCTGAAAAACTGGTAGGAGCCTAACTCCTCTCACATATAATATGCCGTTTGATTCTCTTCATCATTGATGCAACAACTCACTCGACCTTCAATCAGGTCGGCTATGTGGGCGGTGTACTCTTCTTGATTTTTGCAGTAGCAACCTTTTTCGGAGTTTTCTGACTATTGCACGACATCGAGTTCTTCAACGCCCTATGGTCAGGTCAATGCATTCAAAGGCTCTAATGCTAGTAGCCACAGTGAGAAGAGGAAGAAAAGTGGCTTAACGTAGGTTATTGTTTCTTTTCTTTCTGATGTTTATGATATAATCCTTTTCATTATTCTCAAGCTTCATAATTATGATTTCGTGTGCTTGTCGTGAACAATTTTCTTTCCCCATATGGTTCGTAGTGGAATTCAGATTTTTGCCAATAAAATTTCATTTTCTGTTATATTGATAGTCACTGCTCATTTTCTGTTATATTGATACACAAAAAGATTGCATGGATCCATGAGGCTGTGGTCGGGTGCCTCGACAAGTACGTTGTGTCACTCGAAGTCTCTCGAGACTCTTGAAAATAGATCACAGTATAAGACGTTATTGACAAAAATGATTCAATTTCCTCCCACCCATATAGGTTATTTGATTCTATTGAATGAGTTCCCCTCTTCTACGTGAGATGGGGCGTCAGACTACATGGCTAAGTTGCCATTGCTCTTACCACAGGCTATGATAAAAAAAAGTTAATAGTTTCTATTAACTTTTTTTTTTTATACATAAATTTTGAAAACATATTAAAAAAAAATTAATGTTGATCTAGATTGATGGGAATGCAATTGATCTAGATTGATGTTAGTTGAAGAAGGGACACCTACGTCTCACATTGACTCCGAAACGCTCTCCTACCGATGCATTTTTTTACATTCTACAGCTTTGGCAGATCACTTAGCTCTGTTTATCTTCGGTGCAAGAGCGCTCGATCAGTGAGCTATTATGCACTCTTAAAGGTGGCTGCTTCTAAGAAAACTTCATGGCTCTCTCTACACCCTACTTGCTTTATCACTTAACGGTCATTTAGAGGCCTTAGCTGGTGATCTGAGCTGTTTTTCTCTCGACGATGAAGCTTATCTCCCATCGTCTCACTAGCCAACCTTTGTACCCCTACCTCCTTTATCACTAAGCTATCGTTTAGGGGCCTTAGCTGGTGAGCCCTACCTCCTTTATCACTGAGCGGTCGTTTATGGGTGGACTGTTTCCCTCTTGATAATGAAGCTTATTAGCTTATCCTATCCTCCATTGTCTTACTGGCCGACTTTGACCTTTATTATCTTGAGATCATATCTAATTTTTAGAGTTTGCCTCAATTGTTGCAATTATAAAGACACTTTTTTTGCATAAGTCAAGAATGTCCCGAGAAAAAAAAAAATATTTTAACCATTTATTAATCAAAATGCTTACAAAATCCATATTTTTATGCTATAGATTATAGATTAATCACTACAAATTACAAATTTATTTGCTTTCCTTCACACCATCCAAATATAGATCATAAGGATTACAAGAAAAAAAAAAAAAAATCATTAATGGCAAAATTACGACAAGCCATGATCTCTGCATAATATTCATTATGCTAAGACGTCATTTTTAATGATACAAATCTAAATTCCGGAAAGGTTAATGGTAACAGCTAAATTACCTAAAACTCCCTAAATAATGAATGAAGATGAGGATTGGCACACTCCCTTTTGCTCTCTTTTGGGGATATTCAGTCCTTAAGAATCATTCAACAACTACACACCTATTCCTTCTAAATGTACCATTTGAAAGCAACCCAACAATTCGTTTTTCAAGTCTTCTTGCTCCTGAACCAGGCCTAACTACATCTGCATCTCCCCATACTAGACATGTATCATTCCCCGGCTCCCCCAAACACCACCCACCGGGCACGATGTGTCCAGGGCCACGGTTCAAGATCTCAGTATCAATTCGGTTGAGCACTGGATCGTTCAACTGAAATCTTGTTGCGAAGGCTGCTCCACTCTCGATCATGAGAACGTAATCAGAGGGGCCAAGGAACTGGGGCTGTTCTTTGGGAGGCTTGTCAACTATGGCATATAGTAGGTTGTCGTTAAGGACCGTCTTGTTGAACTGGTGAGAATTACAGAGGACGGTTGGAAAATAGTTCAAGTGGCCAGATTGAGTATTTGAGAAGTACATCAAAAGAGTCCTGGGAAGATTATCTGTTCCAAGAACGCAGAACTCGACAACCTGTCGACTCACGATTGAAAGAGACGAACCTGCATAAGAGAATGGTCGGAGAAGATCTCCAGTTTCAGTTCCAGATGATAAGAGAGCTTCTTCAGGAAACATTGAAGTTCAAACCCAACATGCGTAACTAGATATCAACATTTATCAACATTTATGTTGAATTCAATATCCAAGCTAGCAATTACTATTAGATAGCATAAAATTGAAAAGACATAATACCAACTGAGATATTACAACATTTTATCAAAACGGCAATGACAATAGCATCACGAGGATGCCATTCTTTTTTAGTACAACAAATGTGGGGGTTGAAAAATCACGAGGTGGCCAGTTCGGTTCTGTGTCGGGGAAAAATCATAAAAGGAGGACATTTCCAAGTCAAGGGAATTTCCATTTCCATTTCTAAGTCAGAGAGTTACAAAATACTCTCCCCATTGACATTAGCAACTAGAAAGAAGCTAAATAACAGATCTAAAACTACATATACGGCTTCTCATCAGAGCCACCACCATTTTCATATGAATGGCCAATAACTTCAAAGTACGATCCATATTTCATCTTTTTTGTTCTTTCTTTACGAAGAGACGAAAGACTCAATCATGGGAGTAAGACCAGTTTGCCACTTACAATACTTTTCCATGTATTTAAGTTATCTACAAAGGATTCTACCTGTGAGATCTCACATTAATTAGAGAGAGGAACGTGTGTCAGCATCCGCTAGGCCCCGAAGAAAAGTGGTTTGTGAGATCCCACATCAGTCGGAGAGAAGAATGAAGCCTTGTTTATAAGGGCATGGAAACCTCTCCCTAGCTGAGACATTTTAAAAACCTCAAGGAGAAGCCCGAAAGGGAAAGCCCAAAGAAGACAATATTTGCAAGCAGTGGAACTTGGGCAGTTACGCTATCCATCGCTCGGTGAGAATTATGTTACAAACAAAAATTATACATATTAGATTATC